ACTAGTATACTACACTATTATACTAAGGGGACGGAAACTTAATTTTTACAGTTTTTTCCCTTTTTTTTGGGAGGGGGATTAGCGAAAATCAAACGGTCGTATCCTCATCAATTTTGAAAAAAAACCAAATAATTATTAAGTGACAAGTATACTACATCATTGTACAAAAGAGACGGTCATTTGATATTTACGGGATTTGGGGGATTTGGGAATACATAACAGTCTGGAAAAAATCTAAAAAATTATCATGCCAATGACCGGATGAAAAAGAATATTCTGTGTACAAAAGTAAAGTATGCAACCTTTAGTACCAGGTCACAAGAATATTCCACCTGCAAAAATTATCCTGCATCTTTTATGCCACATCTTCTTCTTTTTTATATATACTGGACTACTTTTAAATTGTCTGTTAGAATCATTTGAATGATACAAATTTTAAATGTCTCATTATATGATGTATGTTGTTACATGGCCAATTATGGGTATTTTTTTTTAGAAAGAAATGCTTGGTCTATGACTCATAATATAAGAATTTTGTGAACCTATTAAATTGGCCTGACAATATTTCAAACTAATTGTTGATTTTATAGGTCTTTGAATATATGTAAATATACGTAAAAGTCCAAATAAGACAATTTCTATTTCAACAACTTCGGCCTAATTGTTCCAAAAAACTAATTATAATAATGCAGTTACTGATCGCCTGGAAGCATGTGAAACTGGAAATTTGTTTTTGTTCTGTGCCTTTTAATTTTGTGTTCTATAAATATATAAGAACCAGTCCTAGTTGTAGATATGTCTAATTTAATGAATACTTGTTTGGACTGGTTGAATATAGGCTATTCTGAATAGTAAAACATGCTTTAAATAAAAAAGAATAAATAAAACCTAAGCTGGGTATGGTTAAACAAATTATCCAAAATTGGGTGAAACTGTTTAGCCTGTACACTTAAAGAATCATATATGGAACATGACACATATCGACTCTTATGTTTACACATGTAAAATAATGGGTTTTAATTCAAAGGAAGGAACAGTGTGTTGTTTGTTTGTTTTGTATTCAACGAGAAAGTTTGTTTTAGATAAAAATAATTTTGACAAAAAATAAGGGATACACCGTATACTTTAATGATTTTTAGCTATCTTTAAAACCAGGTTTAATCCGTTCTTTTCTACATAAGGAAATGTCTGTACCAAGTCGGGAATGCGACAGTCGTTTTTAACTCGTTTGATGTGTTTGAGCTTTTGATTTTGCCATTAATAAGAGACTTTCCGTTTGGAATTTTCCTTGGAGTTTGGTATTTTTGTTATTTTACTTATCATGCATATTAAAATTGAATTAAGAACGGTATTATTTAAATATTATTTTACTTTACCCTGCATTGTATAAGAAAGACATCAATGTAGCAGTTCCCGAGAAGACACACTTAAATATTTTGATATAAGTAAGAATTTATTTCAGGTAACATCTTTTTGGTCCTGTAGAAACCACTGGTAGCGTCCTCGTACCATCTTGTACCATTGTTTCACACTGTCATTTAAAGTGTTCTTTCATTGGAGTAGGTATGTGTTATATTGACATATCCTATTATGACAAAATAGCTTCCCCATAAAAAAAAACAATCTTATGAAAAAAAACATCTCCTTTCAAAGGAGATTAATTGGCCATAACATTATTTACATAGTTAATTTTTAAAATGTTTGATTCGGTCAGTCCAAGAGGAATACACTATATATATACATTTAATAACGCGCGAATTTGCAATATGACAACCAGAACTGAAAAAAAAACTAAGTCCAATTAAAGCAAACGTTAGCTTAGATGGTTAAGTAAGTTTTTTAACAATTTCAGACTTTTAAAAAGAGGATCTAATAAATCATGTCATAAAACACACAGAATCCTGAACTGATGGTACACTCAGAGACAGGCAATTGACCAGTAGAGGTATTGATTCAGTGCTAGCAAATGAAAATAAAACATACCGTTTCAATGCATTGTACAAAACACACGAAAAAAAACCACATGAAATAAGCCAAATACACTAAATAAGATACTCACCAAATAAGATGAACCCATGAAACAAGATTTGTTTTAAATGCAAAAAAAAAAAACAACATAAAAACAACAAAACCACCGGACATAACAATGTGTCTCTGGCATTTACTCGTATACAAAAATAACATTGGACATTAATTTCAATAGAAATTTGTAGGACACATACAGAAATGTTTTTGTACCTTCCAGGGTAAAAGTTCTATGACTGTACAGTTTTAACTATTTCTGATATTTACTGTACCTTTTAACTTTTGATGAAGATACATTTCTGACCCGACCATCTTGTTTCACTTTAATCTCTTCAGTACGGTTTATCAAAATTTTAATAAAACTTATTCGGCAATGACATCATGTTGTTTTACTATTGTTCATCAATCTGCACTTAGCCATCATCAGTTGGGGCTCGACAATATTCTTGCAACTACTATGTTTATACTATCACAACAAACCAACACACCAACACGCCCCCCAGACAGAAGATTTTTTGGAAATATTTCAGAATAAATGAACATTGATTTTGTTTTTTAATGCCGATTATTCTATTACTTATATATATATATATATATATATATATATATATATATATATAAGTGCCTATAAATAGCAGCACATGACATACAAATCTATGGGAGTGTGGATTAATCAGTACAGAGATTAATTCAATTACACAAATAAAATTATAGATTGCCTAACAATGTAATTTTAACACACTATTTAGTATGTAAATATAAGAATGTTTAAAATATTTACAAAATGATGAAAATAAACGCAATATTTCGCTAGACTAACTAGCTTCATCAAGCGTGCATCTATCCAGGTGAAATCGGATGTAGATGATAAGAAACTTTTGCAGCTCAATGTATATGTTGCACTTGAATTTAGCTGCCTTGAAAATAATACATAATTTGGATGAAGTTCAAGATTTTTACAAAATTGGTAGTTGAAGTTAGCAACGTCCATTGGCCAATATTACAGGATAAAAAGGACGATGCTGTGTACTAAATTATTCTTTATCTTTCCTGTATCTTTTCTCATCTTTTTCGTTAAGACCATCAGGTTCTAAAGTGTGGAGTTGGTGGATCCAAAAATTTTTTCTCTTCTCCTTCTCGCCGTGGTGTCCCACTCGGTGTTGACTTCTATGATTTGGAAGGTAACATTATCAAAAGAATGTTTCGTTGAACGAAGATGTCTTGTGAGAGGACAGTTTTTGTTTGTTTTGTACCATGAACGATGGTTATTGAGCCGAATATTAAATTTGTCCATTGTTTCTCCCACATACTGAATGCCACATGTGTCACATGTTAATATATAAATTGAGTTCTCCGTTTTACAGTTGGAATTTGAGTAGATGGTATAATTTTGTTTAGTAACGGAGCTGATGAAAGAACTGTTTGTATTGGCAGCTTTACAACACAAGCAGTTCCTTCGACCACATTGTTTGTAGCAACCGGGAGATGGAGTAGGCTGCTTTGCTAATACAGATGTCACTAATTTGTCACGGATGTTTTTAGGTCTTCTGAAGGCCATGACTGGTGGTGAGGAAAATACTTTTTTAAGATTTGAATCATTTTCTATAATTTTCCAATGCTTCTGAACAATGGAAGACACATTTTTAAAATCAGGATGGTAAGTGAGTACAAGGGGTGTTCTGTTAGCTGCTTTATTCTTATCTTTGTACTCTAGAAGTTCTTGGCGACTAGTTTTGTTTGCTCTTTCGAAAGCGCTATCAATGATGTTGTTATTGTATCCTCGAACAACTAGATGTTTACGTAGTTGTCCAAGTCTAGCATTTTGCGTATTTTCAGTAGAGCATATTCTCTTGATTCGCAATGCCTGGCTGAATGGGATGCCACGGGAGCAGTGTTTAGGATGGCAACTTTTAGGAGAAAGGAATTGATGTTTGTCCGTTTGTTTGGTATGAAGGTCCGTTATAATGGTTCCGTTCTTGATGTAACTCGTAGTGTCGAGGAAGTTTATTTTCTCCATAGATGATTCATATGTAAATTTTATTGAATGGTGGAAAGAGTTACAGTGTCCTAGAAATTCATTAAGATGTTCTTGTGAATCTGTCCATTTGAAATCAATATCGTCAATGAATCGGAACCATGATAAGGGCTGGTATGGAGCACTAGCCAAGAGGCGTTTTTCAAGTTGGCCCATAAATATGTTGGCATATGACGGGGCCATTTTTGTGCCCATACTAGTACCGTCTATCTGGAGATAATGTTTTTCATTGAAAGAGAAGTTGTTGTTCTCTAGCACTAGTTTCAGAAGTGTAACAAGGCACTCAGTTGGAGGATTTTTTTCACTACGAGTGTTCCATACCTCTTCACACGCTGCTATTCCTTCGTCTTGTGGAATGTTGGTATATAAAGAAGACACGTCCATGGATGCAAGTATAGTATTGCTTGGTAGAGGATTGAGGCTTTCCATTTTCTTTAGATAATCAGTCGTATCTTGGATGTAAGAGGGTAGTTCTTTCACACAAAATTACATTGTAATGTAAGAGGGTAGTTCTTTCACACAAAATTACATTGTTAGGCAATCTATAATTTTATTTGTGTAATTGAATTAATCTCTGTACTGATTAATCCACACTCCCATAGATTTGTATGTCATGTGCTGCTATTTATAGGCACTTATATATATATTTTTTTCTAATACTGTATGCAATAGGTCTACTATATTTGGTGTATGGAATGATTGTAAGGTGTACATGTCTAGCTGGCAGGTGTCATCTGACCTTGACCTTATTTTCATGGTTCAGTGGTTATAGTTAAGTTTTTGTGTGTTGGTCTGTTTTTCTTATACTGTATGCAATAGGTCTACTATATTTGGTGTATGGAATGATTGTAAGGTGTACATGTCTAGCTGGCAGGTGTCATCTGACCTTGGCCTCATTTTCATGGTTCAGTGGTCAAATTTAAGTTTTTGAGTTTATGACTTTTTTTTCTAATACTGTATGCAATAGGTCTACTATATTTGGTGTATGGAATGATTGTAAGGTGTACATGTCTAGCTGGCAGGTGTCATCTGACCTTGACCTTATTTTCATGGTTCAGTGGGTATAGTTAAGTTTTTGTGTTTAGGTCTGTTTTTCTTATACTGTATGCAATAGGTCTACTATATTTGGTGTATGGAATGATTGTAAGGTGTACATGTCTAGCTGGCAGGTGTCATCTGACCTTGACCTCATTTTCATGGTTCAGTGGTCAAAGTTAGGTTTTTGAGTTTTTGTCTTTTTTTTCTAATACTGTATGCAATAGGTCTACTATATTTGGTGTATGGAATGATTGTAAGGTGTACATGTCTAGCTGGCAGGTGTCATCTGACCTTGACCTCATTTTCATGGTTCATTGGTCAAAGTTAAGTTTTTGAGTTTTGGTCTTTTTTTCTAATACTGTATGTAATAGTTCAACTATATTTGGTGTATGGAAATATTTTATGATCTGTATGTCAGTCACACAGGTTTTATTTGACCTTGACCTCATTTTCAAGGTTCATTGCTCAGTATTAAGTTTTTGTGTTTAGGTCTTTTTTTCTTAAACTATAAGCAATAGGTCAACTATATTTGTTGTATGAAAGAATTGTTAGCTGTACATGCCTGCCTAGCATGGTTCATCTGACCTTGACCTCATTTTCATGGTTCATTGGTCAATGTTTAGTTTACTTGGTTAATGTTAAGTTTATGTGACAGTTGTAATTAAGCTTTATATTTGGGACTATCAACATAATATCAATTATTAGTAAAGAAGGCTAGACATTTCAGCGTGTGCACTCTTGTTTATTCATAAATAGTAATCTTTGCCAGATTAACTTTACAGACTGTATAGAATTTAAAACAACAAAAACTGCAAGCACACACGGAAGACTAGAGTATTAAAAGTTCATCAACTGAATGCATTCAAATGCAATCTGAGATTTGAACAGCAGATTGAAACGAAAAGAAATAAGATTTAAGGATCATGCCTTATATTTGGAAAAATAAAAAAAAAGCCCTTCATATTAAAACTTTTGCACGGTAAAAAATCGAGTATTATGCTTACAAACATAATATTATGAGTAAGGAATCTAATAATAGGAACAGCGTTCTGATCGATGATTTGTGTTCAATTAAAAAGTGTGTTTCAGGTAAAAAAAAAACCTGTATCATTGTGTCACACTGTCATTGAAATATTTCATTCATTGATTAAGGTAAGTGTTTTATAACATAATGTATATAGTTTTATGAATGAAAAAGATATGGGATACACCGTATACTTCAATGAATAAGTACTAATATAATAAGTATTAATTTATGGCTGCTTAGTGAAGAACGAACAAAATAACATGCGTATTTATGACGGTATTATCTAAATATTATATGAATTTATCCTGTATTGTATAAAAAAGACGTCCATGTAAGTGTTCCCTAGAAGACACAATTCAGTATTTTGATATTTAAGTTATATTTTAATTTCATTTAGAATTAATTTGTTCTCCTGTAGAAACCATTGGAAAAGTCCTCGAGCCATCCATTATCATATTTTCATACTGTAATTTTAAGATTTTCTTCATTGACTTAGGTAAGTGATATATGGACATCTACATAGTTTTAATTTATGATGAGGTTCAGTTCAAAGGCACGCCGATACATTTAAGCATTTACATACCTTAGGATTTGCATTATGAAAAAAAGAACTTTAAAAGATTAGGTTCATTGAAGGTCAATGTTACCTTAGGGAGTTAAAACCTTGGTTTCTTAATAATTTCAGACATTTAAAAAGAGTGTGTTATAATTCATGCCATGAAGTCATGCAATCAGAAAAAAAATATGAAATAAGAAAAGCAATGCTAAAAAATAATCCCCCCCCCCCCAAAAAAAAAAAAAAATAGAAAATGACCATGTGTTTCTGGTAGATGCTCGTTTACAATACAACATACGACATTCATTTCCATAGAAAAGTGTGAGACACATGCTCAAATTCTTTAGTAGCTTCTAGCGTAAAAGTCCAGGTAATAAAAACTCATCAATTTCTGTTACTAACCTTCCAACTTTTGATGGAGTACAAATGCAGACCCCCTGATGTTGTTTCACTGTAATCCCTTCATTAAGTCTTTTTCAAATTTTATTAAATCTTGTTTGCAAATGACATCATGCTTTTTCGCTTATTTTTCATTAATTAGCACTTGAACATTGCACTATCATAGCAAATATGGGCTGTGTCATCATCGATTGAGACTGGAAAACACTCCTGCAATGATTTTGTTTACACTTTCAAACAAACCAAGACGCCAGCCAGAACGCATATTTTTTGGAAACATTTCAAAATAAATAATCATCAATTGATAGTGAGCTTGTAGCGCTGCAAAATAGCAGATCTAAAACTTAAACGAAAATAAGACGACTCTTCTCCAGTCCCGACGTACAGATTTTAAAAATAAAAAACATCACACTAACATTTGTTTACATAAAAGTTGTTCATCCCCCCACCCCCCAAAAAAAGAAGTAAAAAGAAATTGCTATGAATGCCCGAAGACATATAACCTAAAAACATAAAAGGTGATATTTGCCTGATTAAGGTGGATCATTGGTTAATATTTTCTCGGATAGAACTTGTTCATACTTTACCAGAATGTAGATTTTCCATGTTTTTTTTTTAAATATTATAAAAAGTATGGGTCACTATGCTTTTTGTCAAGATACAAGTCTTGCAAAATTGTCCATATTTGCATAGATTGTTTTTTCTTTTTTTTTGTGAATAAAAAAAAAAAGGTTTTAAAATATGCGTGAAGAAAATGTTAAGAAAAAATGGTGTCGCCGATCTTGTTTTCATGCTACAAGTAAAAAATGAAAATTTCTCTATCATTCTAAATAATGCAATAAATCACGCATGTGTTTTATTCCAATAAACAATCTATCACATTACTTGCCAATATGTCGCAAAATTTGCAGATTTAAGCAAAGAATTAGACCTATTGTGAACTGCTATTTTACAATCAAAGATGGCGGTATACAGTAAATCTAACTTAACAGATTATCAAACATTTTAAGAACACACATAGTTAAATGGGCCGTCTGAGGACTAAAGTATAAAATATGCATTGACTGAAACCCTTTTAAAACAAGTTTAATGTTAAACAGCAGATAGTAAAAAAGATAATAAGACTTAGGGGACATCTTTTATATGAGAAAATAACATAACAAAGGGGCTGTTATCTGCTCTTTGGTCGGGTTGTTTTCTCTATGACACATCCCCCTTTTCCATTCTCAATTCTATAAACATACTTGCAGGTTTCATCTGGGCTTGACACCATTTTCATGGTTCATTCATGCATGCAACGCCTGTTGGTCTGTTTCTCAATTACTATAAGCAATTGGTCATCTATATTTGGTGTATAAAATTATCGCAAGGTCTCAACGGCAGTTATTTCCTTACCTCGTCCTTTTCTTCTGGTTCATTGGACAATGTTATGTAACGTGGTTTCTTATGATTGTAAGGTGAACATATCTGTCTGGAAGAGTTCATATGATCTCGACTTTATTTCTATGACTCATTGGTCAATGCCTACTTTTCATAATTAGGACTGGTTCTCAAATGCATGAATTATAGGGACTAACAGGACGGGGATTTTTCAGACGAACACAGACAAATCTATACCGCTCCGAAAACCTAAGAAATTCTAAAGTATAATTTACCAACATTTAGGTAAACACAACCACAATATTAAATTTATAAGATTCCAACCACTCGAAATGATGCAGAAACAAAAAGAGCAATCGCGTAAAATTATCGAACTGTCTTGGATTAAACGACTGCAGACAGCATAGTCCCTGGGTCTAAATGACAATATACTTGGACAAGGGAACATATCTAAAACTTCTTCCATTTATATCATGCATATTGTATCATGGCAAACGTATCAATCGAAATCAACGAGTTAAACATCGTATAAATTATACACTTGATGATCTCCTATATATATTTAAATAGCAATGGTAGGCATCAATTATTATGTAAACTGGGTCAAATACCAATTAGTAAATTACATGATATTTTCAAGGAGTGTGAAACAATATCTTTCTTCAGCCTACTCTATGAATATTCGCTTATAATTACAGCAGTTTGCCACCACATGGTCTTCCCGCGTATCGATAAACCTGAAGATCATGAACGGCACTTTCTGAAAATTTAATATATTAACAGAGGTATTGAGTTTATCATTTTATCGAGTATATTAAATGACTCTATCGTTCAAAACTATATACCTCCCTATTTTGATAACACAGAACCACCTATTATTTCGTACATATACAAAAAAACCAGCAGAGGTTTCATTTTTTATTATACGTCAGTAAACATCAGACGTCAATGTAGAAAATAATACTCCTCTAACTTGAAACATTTTAGATATGATCATTATTGCCATGTTATTACAGGGGACCTCAGTATCGTTTAAGACAGAAAGGTAAAAAACTTTTTGAAAAAGGACCAAAATATTGTCTTCCATTTAAAATAGATTGGAAACAGTGTCGTCAGGTCACAAAAGACGCTATTTAATCGTATTGTAAAAATTGGTGTCAACAGAAAAAAAAAAACTCTTGATTCTTATTTAAATAAATGTATGAGTGTTGTGGATATTCGTATATCACATTTTGAAAATAATTCAGAAATATATAAAAGAGTACATAATACGCCTATTTCCAGAATAAGAAATAAACTTCAAGAACTTTCAAAGCGGTTTGTGTTTGTACCGGCCGACAAAGCAGCCAACAATGTGGTGGTGGTATGCCGTAAATACTACATGGACGTTCTTAAGAATGAAATTTTAAATTCATCTACATTCAAGTCCGTGCGCTCTACAGAGAGTCATATTGTAAACAAACATATCATAACCACATCACAGCTAAAGGCCTCTTCAGAACATTTGAAGGTCCCTACTATGTATTGGTTACCTAAACTTCACAAAAAACCAGTAAAATATTGTTTCATCTAGGCCTCTAGAAAGTGTTCTACAACTAATCCTTCAGTACTTTTAACTAGTTCTTTAACTACTAGCAAAG